CCCCCCCCCGCCGACGTTGACCAACAGGCAAGGCCAGGCCTGACGGATGCATCGAGCCACGCTCAGGGAGGGCCTCCACAAATGTGGGGTTGACAACAGGTAGCGGAAAGCGGCTCGGCACTCCGAGTCGTTGGCGGCACCGGCGAGGACACGTGGGAGGAGGACGGGGCCTACCCGGAGGTAATCCGAGGAGAGGACGATTTCGGGAGGTGGAGGAGGGGGTGGAGGGAGAGGGAGGGGCGGAAGGAGGCCATGGGCGGTCATTACCTCTTGGAAGGCCCGGCGCATCCGCCGACGGTCTCCACTTTCCCGCATGCGCGCCACATAGACGCATTCCACGGCCTCCTGCACGTGCGCAAACGCCCCTCCTGGCCCCCGCCCTCCCGCCTTCCCTCTTTCTTTGCCTCTTACCAGGCCTTGCTCGGCAGCCGCCAGCTCGATCCATCGAAAGACATCCCGCAAATTGAACTCCCACGGCGCGCCCTTTGTTCCAAACGAGCCTTTCCTCACTACCTCCTCTACCACGCGTTCGTTAAATGCTACCATTGCCTTGACCACAGCTTCCCGCCTTTCCTCCTCCTTCACCTCGTCAATCTGTTCGTCTACGCCCTGCATCCCTCCCTCTTCCTCGCTTCGCCCCTCTGGCGTCATCTTTGCCAATGCGATCAATGCCAAGTCCTCCTCCCTTAGAGGATCGACCACGACTTTGGTGAAGCGGTTCAAAAAGGATTGTGGCAAGCCTTTTCGTCCCCCTCCTTGCCCCAACGGATTTTGTGCCGCGAAAACCCGAAACCCCGAGGCACAGGAAAATGTCCGGCCTAGTTCGGGAATGAAGACGTCCTGCCGATGGTCGAGCAGGGAGTTGAGACCCTCCAGCACCGACTGCGAGGCAAGATTGAGCTCATCCAGCAGGACCCAACGCCCTTCCTGCATCGCGGTGAGCACAGGCCCGTCCTGCCAGGCAAACACAGGGCCAACGTCTCCTCCTCCTTGGTCCTCAATGCCTCCAGGGGCGGTAGCGGACGACGAGAGAACGGGCAAATCGGCGCCGAAGAGGTCGGTCATGTCCGTCTGCTCGCTTAAATTCACTCGCGTGAGGGGACGACCGGCAGCACGGGCCAAGGCCTCGATCAGCGTGGATTTTCCCACGCCCGGCGAGCCTTCTAGAAGGATAGGTCGCGGCATTTGTAAGGCGCGCAGGATCCGATGGAGGTTCAGGGCAGTCGTGGGGGCGGTCAAAACGAAGCGAGGGTCGACCAAGGGGAGGGGCCCTCGAGGTATTAAAAAGGGACCCATCCCGAAATGGCTGGCGTCGGAGGCGAGTGGGGGGGGGCTCTCGCCCTGCGCGGAGGGTAAGCTGGTTGCAAGGATGTCTGGGGAGAGGGAAGAGCGAAGCAGGCCGAGTAGGTGGCCTCGCGCACGGGTGCGAAGGGCGTGCAATGAGGAGGAGGACGAGGAAGCTCCCAGCCCTAGCCCATCCAAAAAAACGAGTTCTGCGCCGTGCAGGAAGGCCTCGGCGACAGTCAGGCATGGAAGCCTCTCCATGCTGCCACTCGCTTCGCGATGCCGTGTCCTTTGGTCAGTCGTCGTCGTCACAAAGCTCGCCCAGGTCAGGAGGTCTCTGAGCGAAATAGCCGGCACGGCCAAGGACGACGCTCGCCCCTTATCTGCCCCTTTTTCTCCCCCCTCTCGCAACCAGTCGACAAAGTCAAGCATCGGGTCCACAAGGGCTTTCAACTCCAAAGAAACGGGGAGGGATGGAGGAAGGGAGGGAGGGAGGGAGGGAGGGGCCAGAACCGAGAGAACCACGGATGAAACGTCTGCTCTCGCCCGCAAAGGAGGGACCCAAATTTCGGTGAAGCGAGAGCGCAGCGCAGGTGAGAGTTCCCTCTTTCCGTAGTCCCCCCCTGGATTCATCGTCGCCAATAAGCGAAATCCAGGAGCCGCAACTACATGACTGTCATCTTCTCCCTCCCTCCCTCCCTCTGAGCCTCCCCCCTTCTCGGCCAAGGTCAGGGAACGCCCAGGCTCCAAGACGGAGTTCAAGCGTTCAAGGACCGCGTCCTCTGCCAAAGAGATCTCGTCGAGCAGGATAACCTCCCCACGTCTCATGGCGGTCACCAAGGGCCCGTCGCACCATTCAAACAGCGTTCGCGCACTTTTTCGGGAGAGCGTGACCGCGGCCTGCCCGAGTGCAGGAAGGGCGGCAAGCAAAGCCCAAGCCTCGGTAAGACAGGGAGCGGAAGGCGAAGAGGGGGTGTCGATGGGCTCGGCCGAGGAAGGGGTTCGTTTGCGCTTGCGGGTCCGACGGGCCGGGCGACGGCCCGCAGGCTCCAGCCTCGTACTCGTCGGCGTCTGAGGTTGTCCGTCGATATCCAAGCACTCATCCTCCCTGTCGCCCTCTCCACCTCTCTCCCCCCCTTCCTCTTTGAAGTCCATCGCGATGCCGGTGACAGCTTCGACCCAGGCTTGGACCTTCTCTGCTTCTTCGGGGAGAGGCATGGCAGGTAAGCTATCAAGGCCCTTGTGGCCCCCCGCCTCCTTGACTATCGCTTCCATCTGCTGCAGTTTCTCCACCACTTCCTCCCTCAAAGCTGCCCGGCCCCGGAGCGGACGGAGGGAGCCCAAGAGATCTGCCGTTTCTGTGTGCGCATGGCATCCTACCGCGTACAAAGGCGATTGGCGGAGGCGCGCAAAGATCTCGCAGACAGCCGTCTTCCCCGCCCCGGTCTCACCCACGAGTAGCACCGGCTCCTCATGGGCCACGCATCGACCTACTAGTGTCAGAAGGCGGGTGAGGGAAGGCGTCAATGCCATACCGGCCAGGGCCTTGCGCACCACGCTTGCTTTTCCTCCCGCCTGCTCCCCCTCCTCCACCCCTTCCACGTAAGGCGCCAGCCATGCATCCACCGCAGATGAGTCAACAAAAGAGCCAAGGGAGGTGGGTGGTGCAGAAGAGGGAGAAACCGGGAGGTAGAGGGTCGCCGGGTCAATGGTGACATTGCACACCGTTTCCAACACGCCCCGAACGTCATCCTTTTCTTCCTTCCGCCGCAACCGCTCCCCGAGTAGCATGTAACCCTCCTCCGCGATGGCTTGCCGGGTGCTTGGTCTCCGGGACGCCCACCTCAACAGGTCCCGGGGGGTGACAAAGCCCTCCCTGCCTGCAAAAACGCCGGACCTGGTCCGCCTCCCTTGGAGGGTGGCCATGACCTTGACCAACAGTCGCGCGTGCGACGGTGCCATCCCGACCCGTTCGTGCAAGATTTGCTCCATTTCCTCCGCCGCGATGGGACCCATGTCAAGCTCGAGGAAACGGTTTCGAAACGCCCGTGACAAGGGTTTTCGGCCGCCATAAGCGCCCCCCGGGGGGTTCTGCGTGGCAAAAAGCCGAAAAGCGGGGTGAGGGACGATGATTTCTTGGGTCTCCGGCACGAGCAGCTCCCGGTTATCGTCCAAGAGCCGATTCAAGCCTTCCAGGACTTCGGGCGGGGCGAGATTGAGCTCGTCGAGGATCAACCAGGCGCCCTCCCGCAAAGCCTTCACCAACAACCCGTCTTGAAAACGCAAATGGCCCGTAATCGGGTCTGGGGCGTAGGCCCCCGTGTACTCACTCACGTCGGTGTGCTCGTGGTTGTTGATCCGCACACACACGTGCCCTGTCCGGGCGGCCAGGTACTCGACCAAGGTGGTCTTCCCCGCGCTGGTAGGGCCTTGGAGTAGAATGGGGGCCCCATGGCCTCCGGCTACTGCGCGGGCCAGCCCCCGCAAGGCCAAGCGGGCGGAGGGGGTGAGAATGAAACGCTTGGTACCAGGACCGCCACTGCCCTCCTCTTGGTTCCAATCGCGGAGGGGTAGAGGGCCGCTAGGGAGCCAGAAAGGTCCTGAGACCAGTACCCAAGAAGGAGAGACAGAGGAATCGGGGGAGGGGGGTGGACGCGCGGGTTGATCTAACTCTTTCTCGGCCAATCCCGGAGGTATTTTGCGCGAAGAGGCGCCCGAAGCCCTGGTTAGGGCAGCCAGGAGCTCTTTACGCAAGAGCGGTCGAGAAGCGTCTTGAAGCTGTGTCTCAAACGCTAACGCGAATCCTTCCAAAAGTGCGCGAACAGGGGTCAAATGCTGTGGGGCGGCTGTGAGTGCGCGTGCAGCTGCCAAGGCCCGGGTCAAGGTCCTCAGGGAGTACCGAGGCCTTTGCCCCACACCGTCCACCAAGACGCTCTCTGCCAACTGCCTACAGCGTAAGTA